CCGATCTTATATATGTCACGAGAAACTCACCTGAAACCTAGCAGAACCTCTCGTTTAAGAGAGCTGTTTAAACTCAACCTACAAAACTACACAGATAATACCAACCTCTAAACGACGGCGGCATGCGTCGAAAAATCGGCGATAACAGGCTTCAGGGTCACGACGTAGCCGGGGTGACAACTGTCCCCAATGAACATCGAGGAGGAGCTGTCGTGCCAACTTGACCGCATTTTGTTCCATAGGAGTCAGAGGACCAGTAGTACACCCTGCGCTACTAGACATCATATTCTGATCCACGGGCTGTGACTGACCAGGGGTGGTGGCAACAGATGTGGCCGATGTTGTGCCCATCAAGCACGTTGAATTGGCATTGCGCGAGCTGGAACCGCCGGCTGGTGGGTTGATATGTATGCCATCCAAACTTGCATCAAGGGACGGAAGAGCCAAGTACAAATCCCAAAGGAAGTCTAGACCAATCAGGTCCGGCTTCTCTACATGCTGAACGGAAGAAAATGGATGTACAAAGGATCAAACATCACGAAAATTTCCTGAGTGGCTAATAAAACGGTTTAATGATCCATTGACTTATACTAGCAGAACTACATGGGAGAACATCTACCCAACTTACCCACACTTTATTCGTTTGTTTCATGCGACCTTCGTGCAAGTTGACCTTCTCAAATAAAGCCTTAAAACATTCAAAACCTAGAATAAACAAGAAGCGCGAATTAGGATCATAAGGAGCATATACCGAACACAAATCACACGCGATATCATTCTCCACAGATGTTCGGGTAGACGAAAGAAAACATCCTACGTAGATGAAACAGTTCTTCTGTTTGATATTAAACTTGCGGTTGTAGTGCCCACGGGCGATACCTCAGTAGGAAAATAAACCAATTCGTCCTAAAATAAATTGCTAAACTGAATCATGCGATCGGCTCACGCGACGGATTCGTCGGGACAATCAACTGGTCAAGCGCTCATTGGTCATGAGGTAAACGACCACGCAGTACCGATGTCCGAAAATCCAGACAATCGAGCATGCTTCATTCGTCTAATTAATTCCAACCAAGAGAGATCACAGAGTTGACTGTTCCTACCACCATAGTTACCAGCGCATCTGAATTCCCACGAATGACCTGCTGAAATAATTTATTTCAAGAATTGGCTGGACGTAGATTAGGAAGTTACAAAGGTGCGCAATTCGATTCCAATGCATTTTGAACTACCAGAACACCATTTTACATGGTGATCTCAAAAGGTGGCTCGCATGCTCTATCACGTGGATTGGGCGCCTCAAAACCGACCAAACTATGAACTGAGAGGGAAACTTAAGAGGGAGCTGAGGCATGTTTGTGGGTCAACAAGAGGCGTGAATTAGCACAGACGTAAAGAGTATTTTGTTACATTACAATAAACCTACTCGAATGAGTATACACTATCAACAAACTTATCGTTTCAGATAGTCGAATTACTTCTGGCTGTGAACACCTAAGAATGCTTTTAGTAGGCCAGTGACTGACTCCTACACTGACTACCCCTTCCATCACGAGGCTTTCAAAAATCCCTCAGGCTGCGCGGTAATGAACCATCAGTTTCCAAGCTGTTGTGATGGCACTGGTCTATTTCGAGGGCAACATTGTACCGAGTTGGCATCAAGCTCTTTAAACCCGTTTGACTTTCATCCAGCTGAAAAATCTCTGGCGACAATAACACTGTCAGAGAAGTCCAGGTTCCACATCTCCATAATGCTACACCACAGGTTTGTGTCTACTCAATACGATAACTGGTCAGTTGAGAGTAAGGATACTGATAACTAGTTTTACAATGTAGATGCAAAATGATAATGAGTATGGGAAGCTTGAGCGCCGTACTGTGTGTAGTCGAAGACAATCGAAATAAGAGGATAGCGTCAGTGAGATACCAGACCACGGGTAACATTTCTTGTTGTACAGGTATAAAATAAAATGTTACGAACGTACCAGCGAACGAGCGAAATAGAACGGTGTTCGATTTGAGCACCAACTTCGTGAACAGCATGGTCTGTGTTTCCGGCTCCAGAAAGTTAAGACTGGCTGTGAACCATGTGAAACATTGCTAAAACGGTGGGCGAAAAGTAAATTGCCAGATTGACTGAGCACTGCCAGGAAACATGACCAAAACATGCAGTCACCGGAAAGCTTTCTAAGATCAGAAAACTGATGTGTTAGCAAGTTCGACAATGAAAATATACGATAGAAAAATTGCACCCATTAGATGTTGCTAAGGTGAAAGCCAAAGCAAAGCATGCGCATGAAAGCTTGGAAGTCAACCAAAGANTGATGTGTTAGCAAGTTCGACAATGAAAATATACGATAGAAAAATTGCACCCATTAGATGTTGCTAAGGTGAAAGCCAAAGCAAAGCATGCGCATGAAAGCTTGGAAGTTCCACCAAAGAAAACACTCTTTCATGACAAGAAGTAGAAATGACCACTAAGCTAGGGATATACAAACAATAATGAGGTCATATTTGAGCGTTAGCAGCCACAAAAATAGCAAGCACAGTTAAGGAAGTCCATAATCCATCTAGTTATGATGACTTACTTCTCGATCAAATGAAGCAGCCCGTGGATGCCCGATGAGGCACTCCCACAGCGACCTCGCTCGATCCGTGCTCAAGCTCAACTCTGCGTTGCGCAATAAATAATGTAGCAATTCGAAATGGCGTTTGATGACCTGCACGCGATGGAAAAACAGATGCATTGGAAGATTAACTGTACCATTTCAAAGTGCGGCTGATTGAGTATTTGTATGCGATGTGCCTGAAAATTCTAGTCTGATTGTTAATCTGCTTCCTTCTGGATCGTTATTGAACTCATCTTGTTGCGAAACGTTGCCCTCTAGAAACTGCTCGTTGTAACTAGGTGTTTCATCACTACAAATTAGGCTACCAGTCTCGTTCATGTAGTTATACCATCAATACAGTAGCGTTTGAACAGCCTATCAAGTACAGGGAATCAGGAAATAATAATGATGCATCTTATACGTCGGCCACCTCATGAAACTTAGTCTTCAACTATTCAGTTGTGCCAGAATTCGGAGCACGCTTGTCAGACAATTCAGCGAAAGTATGAGGCCACACAGGAAGCTAGGTTACTCAAACCTCGACGACAGCAATCGAAAAACCAAGGTTGGGTTCGAAACATGAACCTCCAGGGAACAGCTTCGCACATTAGCCAACTAGAGCTCAGATAATGAAATGAAGGAGAGGGTTATTGTCAACAAATCATAATACGCCTGCGAAGACCCTACGGACCCGATGAAATTGTATGGTTCGGTAAGAAGATAATGCAAATATGGCCACAGAGAGAAAAGCCACTAAAAGGAAACAACATCGAATTGTTAAATCATAATTCAAGTGACTGAGAGAAGTCTCTGAAAATGTCTTGTCTGCTGTAAGTCCATTGAAATACAAATAGCGAGGAGGGTTGCAGAACTAGGCCCCAATAGATAGGGGAGCGAGAGTGTGCCTAATAGGACCGTAACCCATAAGCACCTTAAGGCAAGGTCGACATATGAGCTCTCGGTCTGTTAATCTAACCTGAAAGTTGATTTGCAAATGCTTCATCACCATTAGCCGAGGCAACGTCAGTGCGCCGCCAGTATTACGGAACATCGTCGTGCCCGGTAAAGGCACTGTGGCAACTGAATGAACTGAAAGTGGAGATAAATGTTCGTAAAAGACAATCTAGGTATGTTGAAACCTCCAAACCGATTAGGGGAACTCACATCGCTGTGTCGAAAGCCCAGCTCATCCAAGCTGTCCGCACTGAGCAAATCTCCGTGTGACTGAACTGCCCTCTGTTCATAGCGCAACAAAGAAGTGACTACTTGGTTGATCAAGTCGTGTGTTCGTATCAACTCATTCAAACTGTCCTGTTATGTGAGGGCAGAGAAGACATTCAGAATTGCCAAGCATAGATTAAAATATTGGAACTGTCGTGTATTATGGGTATCTATGCAGATAGACCAGTGTGCAATCAGTTTGCTATCGCGTGCGCGTGCAAAATGAAGAGGGATAAAAGCATTTTACAAGGTGAAGAAATTCGCTCAAGGGTCCCAGTCCCGAAGGGATCCGCCACCAAAAGAGGCCCACATGAGAGGTTATGAGGGCGAAACTATAATCGGTCCATTTTGCTTACATTTATAGCGGTATTATTACACATCTAACTGAATACTGGAAGGATGAAACACTATTTCTGATCAATAAATGCAACATGCAGCGGAACGCGGAAAGGTGAAAGGAACAGAGAAAGATTAAAAGGCGTTCGGTTTGGGGGCGACATTTATTCTTGCTAAGGTGAGGTAAGCGTAAAGCATTCACCGAGAAGACACTATTCCCCAGGGAAAATCGGTTCAGGGTTTCATGATGGCTAATGGGCAATTGCTATCGGATCAAGCGAACAGAGGAAAATTCGGGGCGTTCAGCAGAGGGTGGAATGGTTGGATGGGCTGGCGGACAAAAACTATTGTAAAAAGCTATCAAACGGAAAGTAGGGCAAGATCAAATCCTTAGAAACGACGGGATAAAGGAGACGATTGCCTGCCAAGTGATCCTCAAATGACTGTTAGCAAAGACTGTAATACATACCTACATGCAGTGCGTTAGGTAACTCAAAATGTCAACGGGGAAAATTGCTTTCAGTGACGCAAATAACTCGCATTTAAATCACCTTGCCAGCTGGATAAAGAAACTGGCATAAGTAGTTGTCCAAATAAAACCAAACAACCCTCTTGGGAAATTTGACTTGACTTGACTTGCACTTTTGACTTTTTAAATTTGGCCGAAAACATATTGTCGTACATAGTCGGGGTGCAAAAGTGAATGAAAATTTGAACCAGTGACGCGAATCAATAAATAAGTAGTAATCGTTCGGCTGTAACAGCTTTTCGGTGCCACCCGAAAGAAGCGCGAGGGCTGAGATAATTCGAGAGTCTCACTGAAGGAGTAGTAATCGTTCGGCTGTAACAGCTTTTCGGTGCCACCCGAAAGAAGCGCGAGGGCTGAGATAATTCGAGAGTCTTGAACACTGAAGGAACGTACCCTTTTTGCGCGACCCACAAAATTTTTCAAAATCAACTCCAACAGGGACTTGACGTATGCTAACATGAAGTAGGTCAGTGAATCCTGAAAGGCAAAAATAAGGAAGCATTTGAGGAACGTAAATAATTCAGCAATGTCAATGACAAGTGTCATGTCAGTCTATCAATGACCGGTCTTCCTGATACTAGTGGGCTGGGTATGCATGCAGAAGCAGGTACAAAGCATTACTTGGAAATTGCTACTAGGAAAAATTGTCCCTTATCGTACTGCATACTAAGTAATGACAAGTAAATAAAAAATGTGAGGTTGTAACCATTCCATTGGTAGGATTCAGATAGTGCAATGATTCTCACCATACTGATGTGTTCAACAGCAGCCAGGAGCCAATGCATTGAACGTAGCCTCTGATCATTCCCGGAACACCGAAAATCACGCAGTACGACTAGTTGCTGGGCCAGAGCTGCTTCAATAGGCTCAGGATGTTTGTAATTGCGAGCAGCATCAGTGAGAGATTTGTCATTCGACTCTGCTGATCGACGCTCAGATCTGGGCTGCCCGACAGTGAAAGATGTCGTATCGTCCTTTGATGCAGCGTTGTCAATCCGGGAGTACGTTCCATGAGCTAAATCCCAGAGCAGATCTGCACAGGAGTCCACTTTCCATGCATCTTTTGTGGCGATGCCGATCCGGCCCACAAGGTTTAGCAAACGCGCTCGCCCATGGCGCACGTGGGATGGCTCGTACGAGGCACTGACCAATGAGCGCGCCACCGGCTGTCTCACCTTGTCAGGACTCAGCTGACAACACGCCTCACGATTCAGGTTCAACCAACTCTGTTGGAAAAAAAACAATCTCAGGAAAGCAAAATGCAACTGAGCAACAATTAGAATCGCGTATACGTCCAGCGCGAAATAATATTCTTGACTGGACTGGGGGCATCGTACCACTAGGTGCGGATGAATGACAGCAAACCTCAACGAGACCATGAGGGAGAACTGTGCAATCTGTGTACACTGAGCTACAACCAGCTTTCGAGTATGTTTGGGAAAAACGAATTTAGTTTACTGTCATACCACATGCCAAGCTGAACCCAAGTGCGATGTGAGGCCTGACCCTATCAACATCACGGTGCACATTTTGACGTTGCAATACGGATGATGAAAATTCATTACATTAGTGCTGGCGTAGAAGGGATTGCGGCTGCGCCATTGTGTGATCAATCCACACTTACTCGTAAAAACCATGCCTGTCGGAACACGTGGATTGACCTCAGCTAGTCCGATACTGTGCACCGGTTAAGATGATTTGTGAGGTGATATTCGATCCAAAGGTAATGAGGTAGTGAGGCAATTCACACTTATTCAGATATCACCGCACAAGCCTCAATAAGGTAACGATAACACCTGTGATGTTCGGGTAATTTTACCTGTTTCAAGAGTTCGATGTCGGTGGAATTTGGTCTCACACTTTCAGGTTTGCATAAAAAATTATCATCTTCTGGTTGCTGCATTTACAGGGAGAAAAACAACCAATGTAGAGGATCGTCTCTACAAGGAACAGTGCACTTCGTGATGCTTCAAATCCGTCTGACAAGACCTCTAAAAAATTATTACACCCACCACATTTGCATGCTTGTAATTTTCGCATAAAAATCGTGATCCATTGAATGTTATGTTTGGTGCTTAGGTTCATCGCCAATGGCTCATTAGGTGTTGGTTCAAATTCCTCGATTTATCCACGGAACAAGCAAACGATGACATGTTTTCGTCTCTTGAGGGAGGCATTTGGAGGTATAGCATTTTGAACTTACGCCAGCTCACTAACTACTACAATTTCTTGAATAAAAATGCTCATTGGTAGGGAAACCTATGGGAAATAACTGTTTTGACTACTTAGATGTAATACTTGCATACCTACGTGCTAGTTTAGCTGAGCTGTCACTTCAAAATTTTCGGAAGTTAGCCACAGTTACAAAACAAATCTATCCCAAGCGAGATAAAGATGCTGTCATCCGCGAATTTAAAACAGATGGGTGGAGTGCTAACCAACACCTTACAATCCAAGCTCTCTATGGGCGAACTGCTAGCTTCAAGTTTCGCTGACCTTTTCAACGGGTAAGCCAAGAAAGTATACAATAAAACTTGGACTGGGCGCGACACAAATACCGGTTGTATCTGAAACATCCAAATTTACAAAAGAAAACCAACTTGTGATGCCCTTGATAATGCATAAGCCATGCGTGTTATGTTGAAACGTATTGAAGGCTTCAAAGGGCATGCATAACATGCGACAGACTTTTCACGTCTGTTAGAGAAAGCTGAAGAGGCTTGCTACCATGAGCAAAACATAACTATTAACGGGGAAGAGGAGAGGTACCCGACTGTATAGATTTGTCTTTATTTACACATAAGCCGGAGAGCTACGACCCTCAATAGTTGGAAAGAGTATAAGAGAAACAGGGAAACCGATAAGATCACAGAGACTCGAGCAATTGAATAAGCTAGTAATCGAGGAAAGTAATGAAACCAACAGTGCATGCAGCAAAGACAGAGAATTTGTGTAAACCACACTCAATCACGCTTGTGCGTTTAGTTTTTGATACCGATGATTTGTCTTATACAGCCACACTGAGATTTTGTGACTCCTACTGGGTTAAATTTGGACTGAATTTTTACTACCGGAATATAGAACGTAAACTGAAACTTCCCACACAGTCATTCAGAAGCATATGACGGTATTACGAATGATTACCTAGTTATTTTCTATTAGCATGCTCATGCTAGGTTGGTTTACTGGAAGTTGGTGGAACTGGGCAGAGGTGTTAGTGGGGAGGAACAGTGGTAAATATGTTATTCTCTTTCTCAGCTGGATCGGGAGATGTCTTATTCCGTATCCCTGTAGCCGGTTAGCCTCAAACGAACAAATTAAGGGAGCACTGTAACATAGCTGCACCACCACGTCATGCCCGTTCGCTTCAGCATACCCAACCCCCTTCCTTATACCACACTTTGGTGGTGAAGTTGTGAGGTTTCAACGTGTCCACGTGCCCAGACATGGGAAAAGTAGATGTGCAGAGTGACGCATCCCCAAGGTCACCATCGGCACGACACGTTCGGAAAGCAGGTTCGTTGGCGGAGCTCACCAAACACGACTTAGCAACATAAGACCAGTAGAGTGGGGCTGAAACTGTTCACGACCGGAACACCGCCATTGGCTGCACAGAACGAATAAGTGAACGACCATATTTGGCCATTTAGTCATCCTATATATTGACGCAGAAGCTCTATATGTTTTGTCTTGACATTAGAGCCGTGTGTAGAGTTCTCTGTCTTCTCCTTATAGCGTGGTCTGGCAGGCTCAGTGCAGGCGTAACCAATAGACGGCCACTCACGATACAACAGTTGGGTCGCCCGTGAAAATCAAACTTTTAGACGAATGAGCTTATTTGCCAGTTAGGGGCTGGTTACTGGAGCGCATTCCAGTAACGAATGCGAGGTTCATAAAGGCAGCCGGCATGATTGTTTGTGCACTACGTAACGCTTTCCCTTGAAATGCTCACTTGAAACAGCTTTGAATCAGTTATTTAGTGACATCAGTCGGTGATGCCACAGTACTTCGTATGGATGGAGGACCACGGGGGACGCCAACCAGACCACAAACCAACCAAAGAGTTTACAAGCTAAAAACACGTCACTGGTAGAGTATTGTAATAGCTTTGTACTCGAAACGCCTCCTATGAACTAGCGCTAACAGACCTATCCTGTTTACATGAAATCTGTCGATATGATCCACAAAGAGCTTCGTCACTCGTGAAATCACTTTAACACCACCCTCGCGCTCCATTAGTTTGCCTGAAAAACGATAAAAGTGAAAGCGATAAAAGATTTATTAACCCCTCAATGTTCATTTGCTTCACTACGTGGGACTAGAAATGCAATGCCATCGAAGTCCTTATATTAATAAGAGAATTTAATAATTTTTTTAATTCACTTACCTAAAATGTATGGAATACCGCCTTCCCAAGGTCAGAGTAAAAAACAAGACCAATCAATCCACTTAAACCCTGGGACAGTTAATCCATAGGAATGGTCATTCTAAACTTCAAGTAAATTACCAAGTGTTACTTGAGGTGTAAGAAAATAAAAGTTCGGTTTTCAATCCGTGGAAGTCCTAAGACAGTGGACGTTTAAAATGCCTGGTTGGTTAGCAGAATTGACGAAGTTGATAAAAATGAATTGTGTGCACCTGGAAGAAAGCCTGATATAAGTTTCCTTTCGTAACATTCAGCCTGCATTTTTGTTCCCTCACCCGGTATCTGGTGCGTTCACCAACAAGTGTTAGTTCCCTGCAGGTATTCGGCGACGAATAAGAGTGAGTGAAGAACTGGAAAACAGAAGAGCTATGCTGCAGTGAGGTAATTAATCATTAAAAACCCACTGGTTATTCTTCATTAGACACAAACGAAAACTCAGGTTAAAATGTCTTCAAAACAGTGAAAGACAATCCAGTTGACAACAACAAAAACCCCGGATGACAGAAATCCACCGAGAACCTACCGCTTCGACCAGATAGAAAAGGTGGTCAAATTGTGGCTTTATAAATCGCGTTGAAGCCACATCAGTAAGCAAATTGAGAATGTTATCCACAGCAGCTCCCGGTTGCGTCGTCGTCCGATGCCATACAGTGGTGAGATCTGCTGAGGTTATTCGGTCGCCCAATAAACGAAACAATTGACCAAGTGTGGTCATATAAGCCGTGTTGTCTAAATTATCTGGAACGTTAGAGAAACGGGTAAAAAGGCGAAGATAGTAAGTAGTCGAAACTCATGGGAGAGCTCGAAGCTTAGCCTGTATAGTTACTGTGCGGAAATGTCCTGGAAATAGGTAAATGGTTGGAGATAAGCAAACGTACTAAGTATGAGAAAGCCACTTAAGTTAAAGAAGCTTGTTGTCAACACAGAGAAGGTTCTCATGAAAACAAACCATGTTTGGTCGATTTCTTGACCCTTAGAACAAAAGACACGCGGTCAATCCTTTCGGAAGCAACTGTATTCCAAAGAAAGATTCAGCAACTCAATCTGGTACGCCCCCCGGTTGGTATGTTGTTTCCAAACTGTTGTTGAGGGGGCACGGCAATTCTGATAGGTTGGCTATGTTAGATTCGACACGATTGCGACACAATCCACGGATCTTCTAAGCTAGACGTTCGCGGTAAAACTGGTGACGCAGTGTCTAATTGGTGCAGCAATCATATGCTCGGTGAAGCATGAGGCGCTGTGAAGTGGATGGGATGGTAAACAACCTCGATTCGTGTTGGTTTTAAGATAAGAATGGGAAGGCACGTAATGGAAGTGAACAGGGTTGAACATTTCCATAGATTTGCATACGGAAAAGAGAAGAACGAATAATTTAACTGGATAGAATGAATGCCAAAACCTGGTGATAGAGCAGAAGGGAGCGACGGACCGGCCAGCCCACAAGAGATATCGCGAACGTCATCGTTCGATTCCGGGTCAAGTGAGAGCGTTTGCGAGTAAAGCTAAAGTAGGGGTAGGCGCGATTTGCCGAGACAAAAGGTTGTGTTAGTAAACAGCTCCACATATACCCCCAGTACTCAGTGAAGCTATATACTATCTTCCGACACGCACACAGACGAAAAAGGACTGATGCAGCAACATACTTTGGAGTGCTGTCAGTAAAACTTACGCATGGATTTTAGGATAACCTCTTTCTCACGGAACCAAGTCATGAGGTATTCGAAACGTATGGCGCGACGTCGAGCCCTTCGAAGTAAGAAAACAGCATTTTCGGTAGCGAGCAAGGTGGCTGAAGAGTATTGATGAACGGGTCGTGGCCGCAAGCCACTGCGTTCGCCCCCACTGTGTGAGTCTGAATCGCCAGCGCCTTTTGCAGCTTCCACTTGTTCAACTAGATTACGCAAGGCTAACATGCGCCCATTGAAGCTGACACCTGCCGAACCACGCGGTGGAGAGAGAGCGGAAAGCAGCAGTGTGCAATGGAGTTTATCCACCTTATTGATGGCGAATGATGTTGTTAGGTATTCCGGCGGACTTTCAGGCAGCGCTTTTGGAAAAGCCTCCCAGTCTGGTTCGAATGGGGACTGGTAGGCATCGGTGCTATCGTTCAAACTGAGAAACGGCAGAAGACAATGCGCAATACCCAAATCCGATAGCCGATAAGTTAGCACTCGGAGACAAGTGACCAGGTCAAATATTCTGGAATCCTGAAAAGTAAGGCGAAAAGAGACAGGTTATAGAAATAAAACACTAGAAGATACAAAAAACAAACATTCGCACATTTCCATAAAGAGACTCTGGTAATTCTAAAATCAGGTCATTCGAGTCATCAATGGACGCAAGACGGTCCCCTAGGTTCAGACATGAAACGTGTGGCATGAATTCAAGTACACGTACAAATGCCATGCGCCAGAAAAAACGCGGCACCGCTCCTTAGTGCGAACGACACTACACAGAATCTCAATAGCATCTGTTTTGGCAAGCAGAAGAGTAAATTCAGTTTATAGAAAGTGAGGACGCACGTTGCCCTGTATGATCCTGAATGTGCTTGTATGAGAGAACATTCAATTATCTTTTGTATGTATGCTTCATGGATATCAAGGGAATACGACGCTCATTGCGGGAATTCTTCCCCAGGCAAGTGGAAACAATTACATTCGTCGCGGAAAATGTTTCTCCAGCGTTATCCTTCCCCAAAGAAGTAAAGAGACCAATTTCTGATTCCCGAATCGACTTATAAACTTCCCGAATGGGTACACCACACTGAGTAAATTCGTCTTTGACAAACACTGGTCAGTTGACGCCACTATTTGACAATATCCGCCAGAACATGGACCTTGGCCTTCGTTTAGCTAAAGGAAAGTCCTGAATGAGTTCGGAAAGTGAATAATCGATAAAACTGCTGCTCAAATCAGAGATCAGTTTCCGTTTCCAGAGACTAAATCTGTACGGATGGGCCTAAAAGAAGGCGAAATTGGTAATGAGCGAGCTGTGGACCTTGTACAATTGTCTGAAACTACTTATTTCAGGAAATAAAGGAAACTCAACTGAATACTTTCGCAACGAAACCTATATGTGCTGCATATTACGCGGAAAAATAACAATACATCAATGACGACGAGGGACTACATCGAGTCTCTGGTTATAGCAATTCCATTATGCATATGAGCTCAAAAGCATGAAATACCTCTTTGCTACACGTGCCCCTATTTGTTCACTGGCCAATCGAATCTGTGAATTCAGTTGTGACTGTGCCGTTGGGGCACATATCTTGGTCCTGTCCGACTATGCGCGCTAGTAACTCACCTTAAGCAAGCCACAAATCACAAGCAACGTTGCGGCAGTGAATTTGGCTCGGTATACGATTATTGGAAGTTCCATAAATCAGCGGGCAGCTTAAAGGAAAAAGTCTAGTTGCCACCCTTCTTTCCTCCTCTGACTGCTGCTACGACAGCGCAACCTCCACAGCCACTTACAGAAAGGCATTGTGATTGTGACAGATCCGTCTGCCTGAGCTCAGTGGATAATAGAGAGGGTATGTGTGATATGCAGCCATTACCTGCATCGTGTTTGATGGGAATGGAGTGATAGCGGTATGATAACGGTATGCAGAGGCCGTACGGCTGATAGTGAGACTATCATTGATGCCAGTATTAGTCGATGAAGTAACAGAGTGGTGTCGTGATGTACCGAGAAAGGTGGAATAATCCCGCCAGGTGAGATCTGCTTCGTACATTGTCACATAGCATCGACGAGTGGACGAATGAAGAGTTCAACGAAGTGAAAATTAGAAAGCATGTCACAGTGTTGCCTGACTGACAAAATTTGATTGCGCCCAGCTGTAGCAACTATCAGGAATAGGCAATCTATCTTGAACAAAGGGAAAAAATGCTTAAATGCACAAAGTTAAACTCTTAGCTTTCTCTCAAAGAAGCATAAAGAGGATGTCAACAGCACCCAGAGACAATCCTATTTCCGTTGAGCGAGTGAGAAAAACCAGGAAGAAAAGTAATTTTTTAATTCTATTCGGGGACAGGACCTCTGTCCTTCTCAAGGAAACATTCCAGAATCCCCCCAGAGATTTTTTCTTGGAGGAAATGTACTGTGTACACAAGATTTTATCAATTTTGAGATTGGATCTACCAAAAGTAACCGAAAACTGTTTCGTCGGCTGAAAGCTTCTACATTAGGTACAAATCCAATTCACCTTATCACATCTTGTATTCACTGATAATCAGTAAAGAGTGAAATGTACCCAAGTCGACGTTTCGCAAATCACGCGCTGTCTCATTATCAGGAAAAGCTTAAGGATGTAGAACCTCCTTTCTGATTGTATTCCTTCCACCTATCCATGTTCATTCTGAAATCAATGCGGGAAAAAATTACGATGGCATGCTGGCATAACCACCTAAGTTGTAAGTTACTTTACCCCCTGGTTGCTCATACATTCTGATTCATTGTCTTTGTTCATACGTCCCTAAGGTATGGTTTTACTGAAGTCATAAAGAGCATCCACGCCTAAGTAGTTCTGCAGGGAGAAGTTTTTCTACACAAAAAGGCAACCAACCTGTCGCGACAATAGCCTGTGGAATGAGGAGAACGATTTTAGTACCGACTGATACTGACCGAATTTGTTTGTCTTTAGGAATCAAACCGAATTCCAGTTCAAACGGGGTCCTGCTAGTTAACTTTGTTAACACTTTGTTAATGTTTGTTAATACCTAACTAGGATTCAACATTCCTCGAACAAGAACGCGGAGAACGAGGAGCGCTTTCTGAAGCTTAACTCAAGGCGCTCTTGGATTTCCGTGATATCCACATTTCGTGTTTCAATTAAATTCACCCACTATCCACTGGTGCCAAAAATGATCAGTGGATGCCTGACTGCACTCATGAAATAGCTTATTGGAAGGTGGTTTTTTGTAGTTAATAAGTCCACGGTATACCTTTTCGAAGAAACTGGTGATTGTATCGTTTCAGCAGTTGTCCACCTGTTAAAAAGCAAGCAAAATCAATGCACGCACTTGTGTAACGTCCAACCCATGGAAATAAAGTGCGTGGATCAGCAGAAGACGAGAGCGTTATGGAAAACCGAGCGTCCCGATTGGCTGCCACACACTCAATAAACGAACATAGCCTGACAGCTAATCTCCGTGAGTTCCACGATCATGTGTTATCAATGACTAGTAAGTGCTCTGGTCGTTGAATTTAACTGAGATGCAATCTACAACGGCCAGATGGGAAAACGTGTGAAGTTGATAAAACCAAAACAACGGATCTCCAGTATCCATGGACGATAAAACCATTGTGTGGTGATCATGTAGCGTATTTATTGGAGTGGCTCGCTCACTGCGGCTAAAAATGCAATGCAATCGTATATTTATAAGGTGTTTCGAAGGCGCAGAAGAATATGATAACTCCCAAATACCAATGAAGCAGCTGGAAGATTTTGTTATCGATCCTGTAACTGGAACTGGTTTTTTGCAAGCAAGTGGAATACAGATCGAGCGGCGCCAGTATATAAAACATTGTTCCCGTGATTCGATTCGTGTGCGGCATTTTTCATTTGGACAACCTGAAAAAAAGTTTCGTCTGCTAAATCAATCCGTCAACGTCGCACGAATCGCCACCGCACTTCGTACTGTTGCACTGGACGCTTAGGTCCAGATTTATGTGAAATCGCGTGCGGATAATGTCACAGAAACATTCGGTCAAGATCCTAAGGTGTACATGACCTTGGTCTTCACCTAAGATATCGCCCATATGATTACCAAAGCCAAATGGACTTTGATCGTTCCGAAAAAACTGCAGTGCTGAAACAATGAATTGATCAAATTTCCAGTGTTATCCACTAAGGTCGTTATTATATTAAGCTATTCTCGGGAGGATGTTGCTAGATAGTAATGTCTAGTCCAGAGTGACCGCCTTTTCCTATATACAGTCTCCAGATGAAATCCTCCTCGCATGCAGTCCAAGAATGTTTAGGGTTAAAGCAGATGTGAGCCATCCTTAAAAAACACCTGTTCAAGATCGCCTGACTGCACACTGCACATGTGATTACAAATTTAGATAATTCTACGGACATCTGGTGCGCAAACACTAACAATCTTTACATACTTATATGTACACCAATTTGGTTTTGACGGGAGACTCACCTGAAACCCAGCTGAACCCTCGTTTAGGAGTGCGCCTATCTAAGGACTCATCTCGACCTGACTTTCCTGTCCTATCCAGAATCGGTCGTCGGTTGACAGCACATTTTGACACGCATTAGATTAAAAGTCACATTGCGATCCCTACCATTTTAGGAGGATAACAATACAAGGAGGAGACCATGCCGGCTTAACTGATACCGTCGACAGCCTTTGAAACCAGCCGTAACAACGAAGCTGTAGACAACTGTGCGAGGATAATCATAGTAACTGTGAGCTTTGTGAACAAAACCAATGCTCACAAAATCGAGTTTTTTCGTGTCTCTTCACGATTTATTAACTACCCTCGATAGCAGAAACGGCTACGGTTCTACTGATTGCTTCCCCATGGTGTCCATAGGCTGTACAGGCTTTACGCACGCCGGGTCGTCTAACCGTAAGTCTCAAAATTACGCAACTGCCAGGGGCCACCTGAGATCACTAGTTTCCACTCAACTGTTTGTCAAAACATGCACTACAAAGTCTTTCGCGTTTACTCCTGGGACCAAGCTGACGTATACACCCCACTCGGAGAATATTGTGCCGAGGATTAACAAAGCCACTCGTCATTTTTCGGTATTCCTTGCGTTCAATAAACATGGGAAATAGCTCAATTCTTATATCTCATTTTGATGTGTAGCAACACATGAAACTCACTTCGCATACCCCGCAGAGTAGTTCCGAATGAGGCTTAAAAGGAAGGTATTTCAGGGTCTGCGACATCTTTCAGTATCAACTACTAAATGGCGGTGTCTTTCAGTGCTTTCTACAGAATTCAGATAATTTGCTGACAAGTTTCAGGGTGAATACGCGTGCACTGTCTTAAATATATCCATCGTGAAAATGACCCGTCACATTCAGAAAGGCTGACTTTAAGATCGTGCTGGAGAGAGTCTAAAAGTATAATGCTCTGAGGGGGCTGCGACTTTGCAAGTAAACAGCATGAATACGGGCATGATCACATCAACAAGTCGAACCATCTTGCTATCCAAAGAAATGGTTCACTGGGCAAACCTTAACTTCTCTAGATTGAACCAGGTCGTCCCGAAAAAAAAACAAGTCATGTGGACATCTTGTTTTCAGTTTCTATCTAGTCGCTTGAATGAGTGAGTGTCTGGAGGTGTAGACACACTCGGGATGGTTGCGGTAGGTTAGCACCTTCCCCGTGCACTTTTCTTGTACGGTAGCTTTTGGGAGGACCCGCATACACTCTATTAATACAAAGACCGTACGATATTAATAAACTTCAATCAGACCAATACTTTCAATCGTGCTGAGAACAAAACTGTATACAAAATTAAACGCATTATTGAAACAAGGATGGTCCATTGATGATCCGTAGCTTTGACACCTGAGGGAATATCGCGCATTTAGACCTCTATACGACAATCAGGCATGGATGGCATATGGGTATCACACAGGAATTCCTGATAGGTTCCACATGCAACGTATGTCGACGATTATGCGCACACACTGATCAGAGCCTGCACTTCCAATAAGCGATTTCTTCAAAAAGTAAAAACAGATGGAATCGAAAGGAGCCAAATTCAAAATTAGCTGCGCTAGATGAGTCATATGAAGCGTAAAGCACTGGATTGCATTTCAAGACAACTGTGACCTGGGTAGTGAGAGAATGGTGTGTGATTCCTATGAAGGCTGGAAGTAAGATACTCAGACATCCTCCAAGTGAGTTTGATGAACATTTGTCATAAGACTGAAGGAAAACCTGGCGCAGGGCAGATGTGCCAGCGAATTTCGAGTTTCGGTGGCTCGATACTTGAACCTAACAGACTCATTCGTAAGCGACCGACGTACCAGCACCAAAAACAGTCAACCTATGGAGCTGTCCAAACCATGGAAACACCTGTAAAAGGTACGGAGCGTTAGTGGTAAATTAAGGTACGCTTGGTTCCTGCTGCACCTGTACCGCTTGTTTAGCAATAAAAAACCGAACTAGCCACTACCGGTGGACTTGACTTCATCATACTGTGCGAGGGAGGTGCGGTGCTGAGCGGAAACAAGAAAATTGATACATGACACCAGTCTAATACGGTGCTACAGCTAACTGCAGTGCTATCATGTTCAGGCAGACTACTGAGTATGATAAAGCCTCTGCGAGTTCTACCCCAATCGTAGTTATTTCTTCGAGTTTACATCTGACTCACAGGATCGCACCCTTGCTTCCGTACAAAGTTTGTGTTATCTTGACCAGGCTCCTAGCATCCGGTGGTCCAACAACTCCTGACAAGCAAATCCGTATCGGAATACATATACAGACTCACTAACAAAAACCATAGACATCTTAGTGTCACACTTCCCGTGACAAAGCAAGAATACGCACACGCTAAATGCGCACCAAACTGCATTAAGTTCCCAAATAATTTCCATTTGGAATTCCCCTATTTCTCCCGGAAGCTAAAAGTGTCCAGCAACAGGTGGACGTAACATATGTTTTGCACCTGATCGATTTCGAGTCAGCAACACAGTGCAGACGCAGAATCCAGAAGAATAACACGTGACGCCAATCCACCACAACCTGTCATCAACCAACACTCTAAACTGGGACTGTCACAGTGTGAACTGTCCTTAAATAGCCAGTCACTGTGACCGTCATTTTTATTTGATGGTCATCATCCACCAAATCGTCATTTCAAACTGATTCCCATCAAAAACTATTTTCAGCATGGGAGGATCCTAGTCAGAAAACTTTTTACATCTCACATCTACTCACCGAGCTGCATTTAATAATGTATGGCATCCAGAATAAAGTAACTTGCAGAAATATACAACCTTATAAATTTATGGTATTTCACGGAAAGAGGGATGCAGTGCAGTATACAGTTTATACATTATATATATATATATACTACATATATATGTATATCTAATGCACTGAACAGTACCTCGTAACAGTTGGTCGGGAATAAAGATGCGCGCGATCAAATGTTAAACACACGAAAAACCAAAATGGCCATTTAGCCACTCTATTGTTAACTCACACGATCACGAAAGTCGTCCTCACTCAAATTGGACAGACGCCACAATACCCGCTGCATCAACACAGCTCCACATTCGTTCTGCAAGGTGTGAGCTGTCAAATAGTCTGTGCAATTGGCTACAGGCAGGAGGACTGAATAGAGCATCTGTGTCACAAAAATGAAAACGATGGTATCAGATAAGAATTGCTGTTTGGCAACCAAACAGAAAAAACAGCACTTGTCGAAATGTTTTCCAAATAGGCAGCCAAAAATCCACAACGGAAACATAGGGCACGAGCAAAACTATGGTGCACGATTAAACTTATTTGAAGTACATCATCTACTGGAGCCTGCGAAACACCGTACCTACTAATAGCAGATGGGCATCCGGATCGATGATATGAACGGCAAACCTTTTAGGCGGTGAACAAATTGTTACAGTTACGGTTTCACTTCATGGTATTGAGAACTTCACTCGATGGACGTGTAAGTGGAATCAAACAAGTCCAGTCGGAACATAGGCTAGACATGTTTCGGGGGATCAAATGGCCTATACTCTGCAGGCGCCTTATGTGGTTAAAATGCAATTTACTGGCCGGAAGGTCTGTGATTCGAACTTAATCCCGCATCTCGACTGCTCGTATCTATGCTTGTGTAAGCTGGCGGTGTCTCGGACCTCGTGCTTCCTTCGGATGGCACGGCGGCTAGGCACTGAAAAGATGTTACGGCTGAAAAATTATAATTATTAACAATCAATGAATCGTCCCCTCAAGTACAAATTGTTAAAAGTTGTGCCGTTAAGAGATCTCGTCATCCAGGAATTAAATTTGGTTCGGTCTCATCTGTCCCAACGTGTGAGGGGTTGAGTGCAACGGAAACACATCCCATCACAGTCTCTTTGAGTTGGCAGAAGAGCCATCCAACCTACTTTGATTTCGGAACCTACTAAGTCATATGACTCATACAGAGGTAGCTTGCTTGGGGAAGTAGAAGTATTTTGTGTCCTATATATAGATATAGGTGTGCACAGGGCACCTATCTAGAGAGAGGAAGTCTCAAAGATATATCCAAACGCCTCGTGTGCAGCTTTTGAGCTTTGAGCCCACCATAACCTCAACTCGTTCACTTTCTCTTTATTCCATGAGTTATTTACGATAAATAAGGACCGTCGTCACAAAAAAATATACTGCCCCCATTAGATTTGGGCAGCCTCTTGTTTCAATTGTATTTGGTTTTGGGAGTTGTAGAATTCACGTCACTCGTTTGAACGGTCCTTCTCTTGTCCATTCATTCTCAATACCAAAGGAGTAGGGGGGAGCACCCGACTAGAGTTGCGCTCTTATTGGAGCTCATCAGTAGTGTATATCTTTGGTCGTGTCGGCGTCTGATCTCCAAACACCTGAAACGCGAGAAGCACATGATCATCTGTGAACAGGTGAACGTGTTCACATGCCATTGGCTGGCATGACTTTTGAACGATTGACCCGCCAAACAGGACTTCCCAGTCAAGTAGGCCACGGACGTTTGAAACCTGCTAATACCATTTTTTCGTTAGTTGTAGGTGGTTGCGGGTTTGTAAAATTCACGTTCACATCACGCTCATCTGGGGAGTTCCTCCGCGTTCTGGTGAATTCAAGCGTTAACACATTCACCTGTTCAGACGTGACAAGTCAGATGTGTTCAGTGTGCGCTGGTAGGATAGTGATAACACACTCACCTCGCATTTCAGATGTCCTGAGTTGAGACCCCAACAGGCCAAGGATATACAATGCTGACGAGCTCAAGAAACAGCGACACACGAGTCCAGTGCTTCCCCCTCCTTTTCGATGTGAACTCACAAGAATAGTTGTCTTGGGACAACAGGAGGGCTATTCAGACGAGTGATGTGAGTGTGGAACATAGGTTCGGTGAAAACTCGGAGACTGCATCTACTTGATGAACCCAAAAAAAGGCGAAGCCAGTTGTAAGCTGCCGAAGAGTTTTCCGGAATCTTATGAGTAGTTTCGTGCTTTTAGTCACAACGTGCTTCAGTCACACATGCGAATTTCGTCAATTCTTAAGATATCTTCAGTTACTAGGGTTATATGATGTATGAAGGGCTCTGATGTAATCGATAATGGAAATTCTATAAAAAGAAAGTCAGATCCAAAAGTGACTAGATTTTGGAAAGGTAACCAAATAAGCCTGGAAAGTCCCGAAATTCCGGTGCGTTAGCTACGTGATGGTGAACCGACCGATGCATTACCGAACGCTACTGCCCACATGAATCAGAAAGATACGTTACAAGTAAACTATCCTCACTGTCCAGTGTGTAATAGCCAGTGGTTCCTTAGCTCCTCACCACCAGTATCCTTGTTGTTTGCTGCTACGCCACGCAGACCTCCGAGAGCAGCAACAGATTTCGATATCAGGGCATCGCGGAACCTTGATTATCGAGAAAACTAATCTTCCGTACAACTAGCAAAATGAGTTGGATATCTCCAGTTTTCCATACCACTGGCTCGCTCTGTGATAAATCTGCGTAGGTTCTCTTTGATTAATCAATAGAGTGGAGAATCTTTCACCGTATTTCACTGAATATTCGTACCTACGTTCACAATTTTAGTCTGCTGTACAGAGCTCGATTTCTTCATTGGAATGATATACAAGATGATAAGTGTCCGCCCAAGAATGCGATCACATTTGACCGCAATCTTGAGACATGAAAGTTCACTGTGAATCACCTGACATGGTGGTAAGAATGCGGACAATTTTAGCACACAGCCAGTACAAACTGGATTGACATCCCAAATTGTGATAACACCGGGTTTAAGTTTACTCTAAATTTATGCGCAACGGATACTGAAATAAGCATACTAGCAAACATGACAGAATAATGGAAGCGGTACAAAAACCGCCCAAAATTTGTTAACAACACGTCGTTGCTTCTTAACTTAATCATCATCATCATCTTCAAAGACAGCAACATCAGTGTTGGCACTGATGCTTCACTGCTTCTTGATTTCAAATATCAATAATAGCTTACTACCCTTTGTCTGTTCATAACTATATACTTGGATAAAAACACCGATTAATCTTGGGTACCGAAAATTTAGGAACATTTCGGTTCTCCCCTGGTTGTCTGCGATCGGCGGACTACCAAGGCTTCATAACTTATGCCAGTTAGGGCATATACTTCGGACGACAGAAAGCAGTCCACCACGCTGCCCTGTGCTGAGAGGAAGCGATCGACTGTCTATGATCTGGCAACTTAGTCGGGTTGACAACTGCATCAAAAATATAGTCTCCCATACGTAGCTGTCTAGTTTCCCATTTGTTCACACTATTAGGGCAATTCAACAGCAACCGACTAGCCCCTCACTTCCACTGCACGGCCGCATCACTCCTGCTTCCCCATGTTACGGTGACAGAAAGTGTAGCAGAGGAGACCATAATAGTCTTGTTAGATGGTTTGTAGCTAGTAAAATGAAACTGAAATGAATCTCATTCAGAAATACCTTACGGGTTTGGCTGTGCGACACCACCCAGCCACAAAATCCTGCATAATAGCCTTAATTTCTCAAGCCAATGATCTTAAGACCAACCAACAATGAATTTGCTCACGAAGTCGATAAGCCACGAAACAGCAAATGAGACGATCACCAGAGCGTATCTTCCACTGCACATACTCTCTTAGCACCCCCAGCTTGGGAAAGCTTTACTTTACTTACTTTAGAATAAACAGGATGTCCAGCAACTAAACCTCGACGATAATCCTCAACCTGACAGACGGAAAACGATGACGTTTCTATTCAAACCAATAGTTCAATGTGGAGGAATCAAGCCAGTTTCTCTGATGTTCTTTGGAAAACTTTCCGTTTAGGCTATCCAAGGACGACACAAACAAGTCTAACATGCGGAGGCATGTTCAGAGGCATGTTCTTGAATTAAATGGCTATCTGCGTTTCTCAAGCTGTCAGTTGGATTGATATAGTTTATGAGTTACAAACACTATCCCAACGGTGGTAAAAAAAATGGATGAGTTATTTACGGAGGACAAAGCTCGTGTCAGTTCACTGTAACCACCTGTGTTAAGTGTTCATCGATAGAAATAGGGGTACCAAGCTGAATCTCTTGTTTGTGATGTTTCTAGTTGAAAATTTATCCCCAGAAATGGAATACCAAAGTGTCTGGGTCATCTGATATCACAAAACATCAAACGTGGAGAGATGGGTCGCCTAGTGAAAAAAATCGTTCAGCTATAGGACCCTCTCGGTGTCTAGCTGCCATGTCACACGAAGGGAGCACGAGGGCCGAGATACTGCCAGGCTGCTGAAGCCTCGAAATGATCTAGACGAAGAGGTCGAGTTCGAACCACTCTAGGTAAGTTTTCGTCTTGACCACTGAGCCCGCTAGAAGGATACAGATTGGCACGGTTCAGAGAACTGACGCTTGGAAGTTATAAGGGCAAGAACACCGGTAATGTGGCTGTTGGAAAATTGAGGCGTTCCGTTCAGAATTGTTTCATCCGAAGATATGGCGCTACCAAACGAGTGTGTTTGACAGTCAAAGCACTTTACATTCACTGCTAGTTCTTATATGACCACGTTTGGGCGGTCCTCATCAAGTGATTCTCTAGCCCGAAACGGCACTGCTGCCCTACGCCATTGGAGATAGAAATATCAGCGTTTCATGAATAATCAAATAAATACTCAGATCCGTTCAGCATAAAGAGAGAATTAGCGGGACATACATTACTTGTTATCCAGCGTTGAGTACCAAGCCAATGAAGCAAACGAAAACCGTCAAAAACGCCAAAGCAGTTGATCAAATTAACCAAGTAGAAATTTCTTGGAGAAGGTAAAATTTCTGCAAACACGGACGTATGTTCCAATTTCTCTTCGATGATGGTCGTCCAATCGTTGAAATCATCCCTGTAGTTTTGGAAGCAACAGTACAGAACGTTGTCAGTTAAGAAGCTACCCAGATTTGCAAAAGTAAGCGAAATTAGCCGCATACCGTTAAAAAACTCAGCTAGGACGAAAATGATTGAAAGAAATTTCCAAATTTGAACTTAGATGAAGTTTGGTTCAATATCAAACCAACGATACTTTTGGCCATAATTCAATAGCTACCTGGCGGCTCCGACCAGACCTATTTGTTGTAGCTTCAACAGGCGATGAAATTTCGCATTCAATTACTCTGTCTCCTAAAACCGAATAGAACGGATCTCCTAAGATCCTACCCGACGTCCAGAAGCTGACCTGGTTTGCAGTCAGTCAAACATATTCATGAACAGAGTGGACCTGGATAACGAAACTCAGTTATCAGGAACCCTCACACAGATCGCAATGCTAAGTAGAGAATGATATTTGACCACAAATATCTCCAAAACACAGATCGCGGACCAGTTCCTGCCTGAAAATACCATCTATAAGAACTAAAACCATCCTTTTATTTCGCTCCTTTAAGAATAAGATTTATCGAATAAAAATCCATCGTCCTCAAACATGGAACCAGCCAAGACAGTGAAATTTACACGAATATAGACTATTAGCCAAGCGTTACAATATGCAAGCCAATTTAAAGATCGGCTGACGCAGGGACTTGAAAGTGAGTTGCCCAGATTTTACCCCCTTCCTGCCGTTTAAGCTATCAGGTGGTGGCTTGTATCAACAGACTGAGACAACACACCTGTCTGTCCCAAGAGCGCAGGATTGAGACACGACCAGATTGTCGAACAGTTTTCAGCGACCTTATTGGTGGTACGTCACGCGTAAACATTTGTCGTTTTCTGAAAGTTTGCTTTTCGAGAGATCTGAGAGAGTACAGAATCAAATAAGTTACCAGACAAATGAACCAAGCTCGGGTTCATCATGAGGTAACTTAGTTGCCAACCAAGAAAGGAAATTCAAGGTACTGTCTTTTTTTACTTATTTCCTTAGCGAAGGCATGGGACGAATATCACAGGACGCCATCATTTTTCTCAATATCCTCGACCTCGAGAAGTTTAAACAACAAACACGCAATAATGTGGAACGACAGACAAACACCGGTTAAATAAAGTCACACGGAATCTAGGTACTGTGCTTCAAAACGTTTGTGCATGCAGCGCTGGCTGGTCAGTTTCGATGAGCAAGGCTTTGAAGACTGACAGCAGTTTGGATTTTTTCAACGGACGGTAACACAGAATCTTCCGCATCTATTTGATGACTCGTTTGCACCAGGAGCTTGGATAGTAAAGCGTCTGGGTTGCGACTTGACCTTTGACCTTTTAAACTCGGTTATGCTACTGCTCTGAAGGTTTACCACCGTGCGCGTTCAGCCACGCCCCTCGCCAGATGTCGGCCTGTCCTATTGATACAGATGTATCCGCAACTGTGAAAGAACTGGTAGACCATGAAATACAATCGGGCTGCTGTAGAACGAATTAGTTGGCGGTCTGAACCGGATGAAGTAGAATCTTCGAAGTTGTTTAAGGACCAGATTTAGTTTATGCGTGATATCACTGGCTAAACGGTCACTCTTGAACAGTTAACACAAATAGAGTGGCTTCATAAAGATAGAGTGGATTCTGATATAGTGCTCTGGAAAGTTACTAGCTAACAGATCCGCCATCAGGTAGTTCTCTATCATAAACTTGCAGATTCCTCTTGCTGTCTGATAAGCAGTTTGGCTAACAGGCTATTCTACACGGGAGCAAGTTGCTCCATGAGCGACTGGGCGAGCGAGAAAGTATTTCACCAGTGGGAATTCATATTGCACGGAAAAGCCTACGCCTGAAAAACTGTTCACTGTGCTTTGTTAATTATTCAAGACATACACCATACAGAAGACGAAGGCGTTGTTCCGGCTCCGGATTCTACAGTCATCTTCAGAATAGTGAGCCTGATTCACCAGTGTCATGGTTAGAAATTGCATGACGCTGGAGGAGTACAATCATCCGTTCAGAGACGTATCTCTAATCTTCACCCAATCAAATATTACTTGCAAACTATCAAGAGGAGAGCCAAGATTAGTGGGCAGAAATGTACCCTCGCTGTCGTTCAACAACCTGGTCTCAATCGTCTAATTGTCTAAAACTTGCGTACCATCCGGGTTCTTCAGAAGTTTGGGTTCACGGGACCCTTTTAGCTGGCGAGTTAGTATACTGAGGGATGATCGTTTAAAGCTATGGGCCGGAGTTGGGTGTCAAGTGGGTAACAAAGACGGACGAATTACCTTGCGAGGTCAACAGTGGCTCTACCACTAAGCTGACGGTCATTTACATCGATTTAAGCTGAGACACCAATCTCGAGTGCGGTCGCACGGACTCCCATCGGCGGCCGACTAGTGGTGTGGTGCAGTATTCATGGACTATGGGTTTCGCGGAATTGGAGTAATACAAAACTCCTTAAGCCGGCTCTTCGCTCACTGGCTGCAAATCCAAGGTCATCTGCAAGGATCTGACGAAACAACCAAGACGAAACGCTAACAAAGGAAACCTTCTCTATGGAACATAACGCAAGTGGAAATACTAAGGGGAATTATCGTCAGTGGCGCTCAAATAGACTATAATATTAAAAATCGTCAAGAGTATGCGTAGTCGTCTACATGGTTGAAAAGATCTCTTTATCCGCATTGGAAATTATCTCTTAGCGACGCATATGTTCATGTCGAAAAATTGGTGCCAATAATGTAACCCAGCTTCTAGTCAGACACTGTGGAGTACAAGTTTATGGTGAACTCACGAATAGGTGCCTGTGTTGGTGCTACGATCGCGACACAGCTGATGATAGTTTATCTCGCAGTCGAAAATAAGAGCAAGTAGACGTAGTAAGTCCCAAGCAAACTGCGCTGTACATTTGGGACTTTTCTGAGTTGGCTTGCCTGGATTTAGAATCGGGGGATCCTCTGTCGAAGAAGTCTTCCCGGGTTTGTTTTCTTCAAGCACCATTCGTTTAAATGCTGCTAAGTACTCGCAAATTAAACGAACTGCCAATTCCAGCATGTTGTGCACACCTTCAAGTGTTTCCCGATCCCAGTTGAAAACGGCCTGAGAAGTGGTCATCTTTGAAGAGATTGAAAGGTACATACTGTTTAGGATCGGTGACAGAACATGGCCATGAATGGCTAAACAAGAAATCTATCTTCATTAACTGAAGATACGATAATTCTGGTAGAAACGTCCAGAGACTCAGCATTCTTGGATATCAGCAGCAAAAATAAAATGGAGTGGGGAAATGGGCATGCATTATTTGCATGTGTGCCACGAAGAAGATTAACAGCCAGGAAGAGTACCAACACCGGACTGCACAAACGGACAGGTTCATCACTTTAGAGCCACCTAGTTAAATTCACATGAATAACCACTTTACTTCGACTGTAGTGGAAAGTTGTCAATAAGCGCTCCATTTGCGCCCAACAGGCAGGATGGCAGGTGTAGTCCCGGAAGATATTAACTCAGCAACGCATACAGACATAGTACCCAGTGTATCAGAAGCGGTAGCCTGGTATAAATTGGTAAGGCGGTAATTAGAGTCCTTATCGCCATAACCGATACATGCTGTCAGGAAAATTAAGTTTAACAGCACCCTTCCGGTGCTAAACTGTCGTGTCTCGGCTGAGGTGCGAGATACTGCCAGGCTGCCAAAGCCTAGACAGGTGTATTTAAGATGTGGAGGGTAGATTTCTGGTCAGTAAATTCCCGCTTCAACTACTGAGCCATTTCAAACTCTGATTGCCTGATACTCCTCTCGGTCACCTCAATTTTCATTTCCACAAGAGAATCTTATTCAGTGAAAAGCCTCATGGCAATATGGCAGCGGAGTTCACCTTTGGTGTTGTTGACTGTTCATTGTAACACACACACAAGACGTAGAAAGAGCATGCTCTACGTACTCTGTCAGCAGATTCAGCTTGTAACGTAAAATTGACACTGTTTCAATTACTTCTCCCGAAAGCAGAACGAAACGGCTATCTTAAGCGCAGGAAGTTTTTGCACCCAAAGCGACTAAAGCGAAAAAATAGAACGAAAGAGCAGTCTTGAGGATATCTCTCACAGCCTTTGAAACGCGCAGCTGGTTCACGTATTTGGAGTACTACATCGGACACCTCCAATGGAAGAGCTAGGCACATCAAAAGGTGCTGGTAAGGATGGAAGTCATACCAGGTGCTTCCCTAGCACTGAAAAAGCCTAATGGACAGGGCACCACAGTCCCACGTCTTGGTTACATTCATTTTTCAGAACACGTGTTAAGCATCACCTCTACCCTTTGAACCCAAATACTGAAGGTTTCTGCCCGAACTTCATGTCAAACCAAATATTAATAACGAAATATTTTATTAGCATAGGTTTTAATCGGCGGCATAGAAGAAAAGTTTGCAAATAGCCAAAGGACGCGGAAATTATGCACGGTGCTCACTAGTGGCAGAAGTGCTGCGACCAAATGTTAGTTCTCCGCACACACGCGTTTGTATTGTAAATGTACTTCTATTCGTTCGGGTTATGAGTTGTGAAGGCTTTATACCATTCCGTCCATACACGAAATAGAGGCCAATCGGTGGCCTGCCCTAAAACAAGTTGACTAAATTAATATGGCAGTGGCAGATTTAACAACCCAAAAACAGCCAATTATAATTGAAAATGGCTTATCCTCTACTTCGTTTTCACTGAGCAATAAGGTCAAAAAGACAGTCAACTGAATAAAAGCGGGAGGATGCCTAAGACGATAAACTTGTGCATTGTTGGGTTTCGTTTGACGTTTAGCATATTCGGTGCATCTGAGGTGATAACTTTCTGGAACCACTAGTCTCGGAAAGACCGAACTCCAGGTGACGCCCGTTATTTCAAAATATATTCATCGATAGCATAAATAGCAGCCTAAATGGTGTCACATAAAGTGACAATACACAGAAGGTACCTTGGTGACACAATCAGTGAGGCAGACAAGGATAAACTGCCGACAATCCGGATTCGATTCCAAGGATCTTAGACCGTCTGCACGCAACTCGTGTATAGCTCCCAGGATGCACTTGCCAAGCGCTTGACTTCGGAGGCACGGAATATCCCACTGATCAACATATACTCTAGACTGCAGATGGGAGAATTCTGTGGGAGAAAATTCCACAGTCAGATCGTGTCCCGAAATGTAGGTTCGGTCCAGTTCAGGCGGACCAGGTTGCGTATCCACACCTGAAATTTGTGGTTCCGATGCTGCAGTAGCGTGTTCAGGCTTAAGCAAATATGGAAAGAAGACAGTGAAAGAGAATGGTTCAATCATTACAATGCTTATCAGTCAGTGATGACAGGTCTGGGATACGGTACATTTACTAAGTAATGTTTTGTGGTAAACTCAAAGGGAGTGCTATTTAGGATAGACATGTATCATTTGAGATAGACTGACAGTTTACGCTTAAAAATAGTCGACTTATCGTTGAAACCCGTGCTCTAGATAAGAGTACCGTAGTTTCTGTTAACTAAATCCCTAACTCAAAAGAATTTTTATAACCATTTTATCCTATAATATCTGTTGTACTGAGTAACCATTGGGTCGTTTGTACGTGTGACGTTGTCCCAGCGCCTGATGGATTGTGAAGATTTGGTCAACACACCCCCTACCAGGCCTAAACCCCGCCTGCTGCTCTCGAGTCAGTGTTTCAGGAGCCAACATAAGGCAAGGAATCACAATTAAGGCCAGCAGTATCGCTATAACCGGGGTTAGGCTGATTCCTCTGTGGTTACCTTACTCCCTATGAGCGCCTTATTTGAAAACAGGCAACACCTCCCCTCCAGGGACTAACCCCTTTCAACAAATGCAAGCAAACAGATCAGACAAGCGCTGACTTCGAAAAATGCTGGTGTGAGGTCATCTGGACCAGAAGCTCGGTGGTGCTCGAGAGAACATGTGCACTCCTAAACCTCTGATGCCTCAGCGCCCAGGGTTCTAAGTCAACTGTGAGTTCAGATGAGTGGCAGCTTGTTGCCACGATAGCTGTTGTTCAACGTATTTGGCCCACCAGTCGAGGCGTCATTATTGATCCGAGATGGTCACTCCTTTCCAATTCTTGGTGGTTTCCGAAGACCGGTCGAGCGGGTCAACTGAAATTATCTTCCGGCACTGCCGGCTTTCCGGGCCTCTTCCATTTCGTTCGCTTTCTGTGACCATCAGACTTTAGGGTCGGTTTGCACGCTCACTTGACGTCTGATAATTCATCGCGTCAAGTTGTGTTCTGAACCGAGTGAGATATTTTCCTCCGAGATTTGAGCAGTGCCACTGTTGGGCATGTCATCCAGTGCTTGTATGGGCCTGATGGCGCTGTGCAACAGGCAAAACTCCCAGCACTGTGCAAGGTGGATCCCGTTCTAGTATTAATTCACGTCCGATGGTGGAGTGGTTGGAAGGGACTCTAGAGTAAGTTCGTCCGACATCCAAATCTACCAGTGCGTCAGTTTGCAGCCGACTTGTTCGGACCTTACACGGCCCTGAAAAACAAAAAATAAACGACTCCGGACAAGCGCGTGATCGGAATCCACAAATGTGTTCCAAAACGACCGGCAGTCCGTTATTAATGTGCACCAATGTGATCAATTTCAATTTGTGGCTAGCGCGCCGTTGGAGGACACCATGTGGTTAAATGACTTAGGTTATTTCGGAAGACTGTACAGCTTAAAAACAGTCTGCGATGAGCACACAGCTGAAGCAATCGCTCACCATTGTCTGTACGCAGTGAGCTCAATCCATGTCGACTTCCTAATTGAGTTTCAGATACTCTGAACCAGCCGACTCGTGCATTCATATCTCCGGTAACCAACAGGATTTCTGAGCTTTCAGCTCGCCGCAAGAGGACATTCAGGGTGACGCAGAACTTGCCTTTTATGGTGTCAGAGCTTCAGTCAGTTGAAAAGTAAACAGACTCAACAAACACCAATCGAATTCCGGCTTGTGAAACACCTTCAAAGACCTTGAGAGACAAACCACACACTAGAGACTATCAACGGGTATCCAGTCAAGCAATGATCCTTCCACCCGGTGAAATACGACGATATAAAACTTTGCACATCCTGCTGCAGCAGCCTATGGATCGCTAGGGATGCGAAGCCGGGATCAATTGCAGAGTGATGGGACAATTAGCGCAACCACTGTGCTCGCACCTTGAATTATTGTTTCTGAGACACAGTACACATCAATGCCAACTAAGTCCAGTGTGTGAGCAAGACCAGCTTGGTGTCCCGTTTGATTTAGAGTGCGGACATTAAAAGCAGCCGAATAAGCGGGGCGTCAAAGCTTGAAGTCTGATTTCAAGATGTCTGAGGATTTCAGCACCGGATGACGCGCATTTATTGCTCAAAAACCGATGCACAACAAATGGAGTTATCAGTCTTGACTGACGGATATAAAAGGAGAGTTTTTAATGAGGTGAGGAGAGGGAAGGGAAAAGTATGTGAAAGAGAAGGCAGGAAGGCGTTTTCGCCTACCCACCCTGCAATGCGCAGCAAGTAAGGCGATATGACTGATGAGGAACACAACGGATTTATTATTTTTATTGATTTACATTGTCTGGCTTTTACACAAGGCTGTGACGCGCTGCATAATGAGAGGGTCCTCCGACTTTGATCGAATGCTGACTCACACTGTCTAGGTTTGATATGAGGCTGTGACGCGCTGCATATTGAGGGGACGTTGTCTGTCTGGTCAGCATCTAGTGGAGCTGAGTGTCTCAGTAGATTTCAGGCATTCTGTGATTGCTTTCAGGAATCGGACATTCCTGATAGTCTGTGAACCAGGTTCGGAGTTTTGCGGCCAGGAGAACTCAGACTGGTATAAAAGATTTTGTTCAGTAGGTCGGTCAATATATCGCCCTTAAACGGAAAGCCATTTTGAACCGGGTTTCTTTCAACTGTGATGGTGGTAGTGTTGGCATCTCATCTGTACCAATGCCTTTTAGTAGAATTGTCGGGTAACATATTGTCCATCAGATCGTTGGAGAAAGTTAGGGCTTCTTGTACCAGCACATCATCGGAGCATATTTTACTTGCTCTGTTAGTTAAGCTGTGGATGGGATTCCCGTTGTCTTTAAGTGAACCGAAGCTGTCAATCTGATGTATTGCCAGGACCGCATTGGCTTTCGGCACACCGATCAATGTACCATCGTTACGTCGTTCAAGTTCAACATCTGCGAAATGAAAGCAGTTTCTGTCTCTCCTTCCGTCTCCTTCTGAAGCAATCATAGTTTGGTAGTATCTTATAAAATCGCGGAAATGTCGTCCATGCTGGATTTCAAGGAGCCTTTCCCGAGTTTGCTCACAAAAATATCTGCTAGCAGCGGCTTCAACGCAATCAGTTTGATGGTATAGCACGCTATTAAATAGGAGTTGCATACTCAACATGCATCAAAAGAATTCTCGTGATTCGTTGACTGGAAGTGGCAACTGGAAGTAGTTTGCTTTTAAGTAGTTACACAGGCGGTTAACGGTTTCAGATGAAGATACTATGGTAAAAACTTGAAACACGCCTAATGAACGCATGAACCAATCTTTCCGTTCAAGGCCTTTTATTGAGTACACGAAGCAAAATGTGATGACATTCTTCGGCGTATTGGCTTCAGCTCTCTCAATGCATACATGTGTATCTTGCTAACCAAGGTTCGATGTTTTACGATAAAACGCGTGAGTCCATAACAGAGACTGATTAAGTTCGAAACGGAGAATAGACTAACATTAACAAGTACTCTCGCGGTTACCACAATACCTAAAGAAACAATTTTAAAACGGAACCTATGACACGTTGAGGAACCGCCTGCAAAACACGGGGATGATTAAAATGTACCGCGTTACCTCATTTTCATCTTCGACACTGGCAGTTGGCCGTACGCGATTGTTGCACATCATGAGTGCGATAGCTTCATTGATGTCATAATTTGTAGCTTCCAGCGTCCTCCGAATCTCATGCTCATCGGTGAATCCCATAAGTAGTAACTTTCGAACGTTATCCTCTACATCCATGGTACGTCGTTATAACTGATCTAAGTTGCTAGTCCATTGGAAGTGCAGCGGAAAATCACAAGCCCATGTGAATCTGAAAAAATGACAAATCCAGCGCATCCTCTGACTGGGCAAAGTTCATTTCTACTGGTGGATTAAAACAATCTAAGCGTAGGTGTTGCAATGTCAATGAGTGTTGATTAGTCAGTAAAATTAAGGTAAGTGAACTGGTAATTACTTAGGAAATGGATTATTCCAGTGATACCGCTTATTTCTCGTTTTATTAACCGATCTGTTGTACGCACACAATTTTCAACAAAATCGTCGTTTGTAGAGAGGAGTTGTAAGTTCACGGATTCACGGATTGATACACAGGATCGAGGCTTTCCCCCAAGTTTCCAAGGTCGGTTCTGTTCCCGTCGGTCGGTGGCTGTCGTTCACCTGAGAGGCACAAGTGAAAAAAGGTGTAGCACTGCTCTTTATGTTCTCAGGGCGGGGCAGTATGCTTGCCAGCGCGAGAATTCGCATAAATAAATGTCTAATAGTGCTTTAAACTGGGTTCTAGAAGGAGCGCGAACAACCGTCGAAGGAAGGCCATTCCACGCAGCTACTACCCGAAATGAGAAAAAATTTTGTCTAACGAATGTGTGCTCTGAGCTTGAAAATTTTCTGTCCCCGCCGTGTGTTTGCTGGGTCAACGGTGAAAAAGCTCTTTGCCATGCTTTGTTCAAACAAGTTAAAATATGGCATTACCTTGTACGTGCGCTACAACCAGAAGTCACCAGAATCAGTCTTACTATGTTTGGGATTTGTGCCAATTTTTAGCCCATAATCTTCCGTGCGTATTCAACAGTTTTCTGGGATGTCCACATTTCGTGCAGCATGATAGCTGAGGACAATCTGATACATCTCCCATCTATTCGGATTAGCGTCACTATCAGATACGCGCAGCTATTCAGGCAATAATGCAAAGATTTCAGATGTTTCCCTCATAGGCGCAACGACGTTACCGGAAAACAAGCCCGGGTATTTCCCAATGTCGTGATAACCAGTACCTTTTCAGTCAACTTGATTGCTTATTTTAACTTGTTGGCTTGTGGGCAGGTGCAGTCCTAACTGGGGCCTTAACTATGAGTGACAACCAGGTCAAACTTTTAACAACGGGCATTCATACTCACAACCCTACGTCCTGTCGCTCACGTCGGCGAATTGTTTTGGCTGTTAGGCTTGTGTCTATTTGCGACGTTCATCTAGGCCTCAACTATAATCCAGTACAACGGCCTGCTACCGCCCTTCGTAATCACAACTGTACTAGGTGCAGCTAACCTTGGCTATTTATGGTGAACACTGGGACCTAAGAACTGCACTGATTATGAGGCCCAAACTATGCTTGATAGGCAACGACGGTTCCCACACATGTTGTCCGTTTGTCAGGCCCCCAGCTAAAAAAACATAAAAGCCCCCTTTGATATTTGTCTTTTCACTCACTGGCTGTACAGACTACAACGTCATATGTAGTCAGGAAGTCGCCTCAAATCTGCAGATATTCTGGAAAGAAACTACATGATTAAACAAAGGGGTAAGGGATAACTCGCCAAGTGTTTAACGAAGCGTGTTGTCAACCGCTGTCTACGTTGAAGCTCGAGTGTTACTGTTACATGCCTGTTCAATTAGTCCAACGATGACGGCGTAGCAAGATTCAGTGGTCAATTGTATTACTTAACGCAACTGTGCTAAAGCTAAAGAATATTTTATACACGGCAGTCGTAGGACCAAGTGGTATGGACCACAGTCCTAGGATATTAGGACCACAGGCGTTTTCAAACTTACAGCATGAACGTAGCTGCGGCGATGATCCATTGAACAGGCAGGTACTTGGCGTCAACTCTGCCCATTCAGAGCTCAAAATCGCAACTCCAATTTCCTTTGTATGATAAAAAATTACGTCCTCACCGTAAATTTTGAACATCACACGTTTAAACGACGTTACCGGAAAACAAGCCCGGGTATTTCCCAATGTCGTGATAACCAGTACCTTTTCAGTCAACTTGATTGCTTATTTTAACTTGTTGGCTTGTGGGCAGGTGCAGTCCTAACTGGGGCCTTAACTATGAGTGACAACCAGGTCAAACTTTTAACAACGGGCATTCATACTCACAACCCTACGTCCTGTCGCTCACGTCGGCGAATTGTTTTGGCTGTTAGGCTTGTGTCTATCTTCACTTCATGTCTACAATATCCGAAAATATGAGCTACTAAGACAGTTACAATTGACATGACCTCACCTCCTCCAGTAATGATGATGATCCAGCGAGGGCTGAAAGGCTTACCATATCTCATTGCCCAGGTACAAAAATCCCTCAACCAAGTTGCAAGTGGCCTACATCGTCACACAACACCAGCGCTCACGAATTAGTCCCCTAAGTGGTCGAAGGCCCCTGAAACCCCTCAATTCGCCGTGTTTGCCCACTGGTCACTATTAAAAACTGAGTATTTGTCAACTCTTTCCTGAACGTAACCGCCCTCCAGCACGTCCTCTTTCTGACGATTCGAAAGACCGCATCGTTGAAACCCTCATTAAAATGCGTACTCTTCCTAAAGACATTCTCCGGCCTATACTGAGTCCCACACTTCACCTTCTGCGACGAAGGAGGCATTTTTGTCAAACGAATGTGCGCTGGCATGTCTCAAAGATCCTCCTATGAATCCAAATATTGCGTATGGCAAAATAAAAATTGCTAAAAGGCACCTACTAAATATGCACGGTACGACATCTCCAACAAAACTTTTTGTGCGAGGCCCCGCGCATTTCCTTAGACTGCAACAGCTAATTCAAGTCCATAAAATCCAGATTTTCTCACACCTGATGGCATCTACCGCACACCCACCATCTTCAACCGACTGTTGACTACTGTTTTCAAAATCGGGCAGTGTCACCTCACTTCTGCTATCTCGTCGACAAACTCGCTACCTTCCAAAAATTAAGCGCATACTGTAGCCCAATATAATCCACTCATTCCTGGGTTAAGTTAGCTTGATCCCATCCCCTTTTATTTTTTTATTGAACACCGTTTTATCAGATACCTCCTCAGACTCACCAAATGTTACAGCTCCCATCTTATTCCTTCCCCATTCCCCCTTCTCAAGCTTCAGACTTCGACTGCAGTTGACCCAACGCTTCTTGCAACCGTTATTCATTTAAATTGGCTTGTCCTCGACTTACATTCACATGGTCCTCCTACTTACTGTAAATTTTCCATCACTCTAGATTGGTCTAACTCTATCTGTGTCAATCTCCTCGTCTAACCCAGGCCAAGCTTCCACGGAAATGCGTATCCCCTGTCCGACTGCGGGAACCTGCACGACCCTTACCGGGCTGAATGAAAACCGAAGTATGTCAGTGGAATGATGGCACGGCACTGCCATGCCCAGTCCGATGGCGGTCCCGCTACAAATAGCTTTCTAATTTTGACGATGCCTTCTTGCCCAGTCGTCCCCCCTGCCTACAGCTGCCAACGAACGCTTCACCCAAACCCAGCAACCTCCGGCTTACGTTCACATTAATCTGCTGAACCTTTCATTTGGATGTAGACATTTCGTTGACTTTCATTCCATTCTCCTCAAAAAGTCAGTGATTTTCTGCACAGGTCGCGTTCCGTCTTTTGCACTAGCAATAACTACCCCGCTCATTGAGCGTTGACACCCGAAGCCACTCCAACAGCTACACCATTTCGTCTCTGTAGTTTCAGTGTACACCGTTACAATGAGACTTCTGCTGCCATTTAATCGTGCTGCGGATTCTTCTTATGCATCACCCCCACTTTCGCTTTGTGTGGCCCGACAATCCAAGGCCGAAAAGGCCTTCAGTTCACACTGACCAGCCAGACCGCGTCAATTTTCCTACCACACCAAATTTTTTGTTCTTTTTCCTCATTTTATGCAGTTAGAAGTTTTTATGATGTGCCAAACGGCATGCCTCATTTTTGCTTTTCCTCGTTCTGTCCTAGTCCGCCACCTTCAAACCTTAACGATCTAATCTAGTTTTAGCTTGATGTGTTCCCCCAAAAGTAAGATAAAATTCTGATAACTGCGTTTCCTTTCCCAGACCAATTTGGACGTGACCAAGTCTACATCATATATTACCCGGTGTTTGACTGTAAATGTTTTGCGCGATTCTCCGTACCGGCTAATCTCCCAGTCATGCTTCATTCCGAATTCAGTTGTGTGATCATGCGTGACGGTATGCCATCCACTAGTTGGGAATAAACAGTATTATTATTACAACGGTAAAGAATTTTTGATGGTCCCTTGAGGTCTTACAGTTAACTCGCTTTACTCAACCAGGTTTTTGTCTTTTTTACTTATCTTGGCCCGCCCCCTTATCTCAACTCAATCGCGGTTTTTTGGCGCGACAGAATGACGAGTTTTGTGGTTTTCAGGCTTTGGCTGCACCCAGACATTCGGTAATGTCCCAGAGTACCTGGCTCCCCGAATGGTTAATGAGGCCAGAAGAATTCTCAGGTACCGGAATTGGAAAGCTGGAAGGTAATTATAATGCTTATTCCCAAATAGTGGAGGGTATTTGGTAATTGATCAAGTGGCTGTTGATCTGTTCGCCGAGCTTGGCAATTGGTTTGCAAACGCTTCGTCACCATTCGAGGAGACACCTTTAGTGCGCTGTTGGCTGGGTAGTTCTCCTCTTCGTGCCTGCGTTTATATAGTCTACAAAGAGTGGCTTTGCGCTGAAACCTGGATTCTGGTTGGTCCTATCTTAATCTATGTTGGGTTGTGGTTTGTAATTCTTGCCGCCTATTGTTGTCTCTTTCGGCTGGCACGTTCTTGATCTGTATTGCGCCGTGGTCGGCTTCTCTGTTGATTTGTAGTGTGCCTCCTATTTTTAGTAGTTTGCTGTTCCAATAATGTAGTAGCTGACAACCGGAAACACAAGCAAAACAATCACATTACCACATATCAAAAACATTTCGGAGATCACCGCCAGGGTACTACGACAGCATGCCATAATATTTGCCCAAAGACCGACTGACGCGCTGCAAAGAGTGCTGTGAACACCAAAGGGAACACATGATGCGGTGGAAAGACAAATGTAATCTACAA